TCCCTTCTGATTGCGATCTTCACCCTTTACAGCCTTTTCGCTGCTACTTTCTAACGGCCGTGTATCCTTCTTTGGGCTACTTCGCCCTGAACCTGCAGACATCCGGGGAAATCTTCTGGATGGAGACGCCTTTCTTACACTCATCCTGGCCCCCTCATACTCCAGCGGCAGCTTGGAGCTGCTGCCGGATGTGCGCAACAGTGGAAGCGGCAGCAGCTTCAGTCTGCCGCCGCACAAGCTCTCGATTTAATAAAACAATTTTTATTATGCGTTTTTGCTGTGCAGCGTTGTAGCAGCGCTGTAGCGCGCTATAGCGCTGTCACAGCCAACAAAAACGCATATTGTCGAGGGGCTTTCTGTGTGTGTGTGTGTGTGTGTTCGAAAAGCGAGTACATTTTGTCACTCACTTTCATCTCAGCAACCAGAGAAGCTGGGAGGCCGAAAATTTGGATATATGTTCCTACCCCGTGTGTCATCCTCCCGTTTTAAGATCTTTTCCCACACGCACCTAGACGCCGCGTACGGGACACCCAAAGAAATATGTTGGGGGGAAACGATTTCGCGAACAAGGCAACGTAGAAAGTAGAAGCTTTGCAGGGATATTCTCTATGCACATGCGAGATAAAAATTTTAAACTCAGCTCTCTAGCTCCCGAACCACAGCCTCAAGCCAAAAATCGTTAGCAACTCGGACCTGAATCGAAACTGTATATGCAAATGAACATGGATTTTTTGAAAAACGACCGCCCGAGCAATACTTTCAATTTTTAATGAACTGAAAATTTGCATATTTTCAAAAAAATCGTTCACAGCTCGGATCTTAACCGCAATCGTATATGTAAATGAACATGCATTTTTTGACAAAGACCGCTCGAGCACTTTTTAGTGAACTTTTTAGTGGACTGGAAATTTGCATTTTTTCAAAAAATTTGCATTTGTCATTTTTTCACAAAGCAGGCATTTACCGAAAAAACGACCGGACTTCATGCAAAAAACCGGTAATCATGCACCTGGATGTCCGTGTGGCTCTGTAATGCACCATCTGCATCCCAACTGATGCCCTTCCTCATGTATGCCGGTAAGGATCAAAGTACGGCCAATATTAGTCCAAGTGTTAGGCTACAGCGTAGGGATCATTCCTGCTAATAGCGATCTGCGAGTTTAGTGCAAAAACGCTTGATCGCAACGGAAAGCCTGGTGCGTTCCAGCCTGGGTTTGTATGAAACACGGCCGTTTTTTTAGTCCAGGAAGTCTGCTGTGTTCCAGCCTGGGTTTCATTTCTAATCATCAGATTATCATGAAGGAGAAACTCGAGTCATGAGACGAGACATTTGCAAATCGCAAGGAACCGAAGGGCAGCTGGGTAAGGCGAAAGGGGTTTAGCCTCCACCTTCTTTTCCTTGCTAATTACTCCTTTTTCCTTTTTCAACAAATATTTAACTTCCTAGCTGTGCTACAGTCATACTACCTATGTCCTGGATAATTTTGTTTGACGGCGAGAAACCCTGCTAACCCATTGAAAGAGGGCTTCTCGTAATCAGTTATAAATGTGCTGCAATTACGCGCTTCATCGTCCTTTATGGAAAATTTTTCCGGTGTACCGCACTGTGCGTGTTTTGTAAGAAAGATATTTTCAGCAAAACATCAGTTTTCCCATATTACAACACACAACGGCTGCAGAACAACTGCCTTGATATAAAGAACGATGAAATAATTCGAATTAACCCGCTTACTGGCGAAAAGCTACCGTCTTTTTACAATAACAACAGAATTACGCCCAATTACTTCCACACTTCGGACATCCAATCCTTGAAAAGTAAGTGTCTCATTTTTTGAGCGTTTTTGCTCAACTATTTTAATGCAAAAAGAGAGACTGCCTGTGTTTTTGTGTTTCTGCCGCTCAACAACTAGACAAGTTAGGAGGCCGGAACTGTACAAGAATATTCCCGATTTAAATACGATCCTATAAAAGCAAAATCAACTTTCAAGTGCGTTTACATTTCGGCACGAAAATCCTGAAGAAAAACTGAATAGTCTTGGCTGAAAACGATTTCGAGAACCAGGCAAGGTAGAAAGCTAAATTTCACGTGGATGTTCCCTGCCAATGCACTACCAAGATTTTAAATCCAGCTACCACGTATACCTATGTCAGTTGTATCGGCATCATAGTCTTATTTGCAAAACCGTATACTGTCGTTACAGTGATCAAACATGCTTAAAAAACGAAATTTCACTGGGCCTCATGGTACAACACGGCCGGTTCGGTAAATTCTCCTTTCCGCTGAACATGGAAGAAAAGTCCAAATCCGAAAAAATTCTCTGACGTTTTTACTGTTATCCAATCATACTGTTGGCGAAACCGCAAAAACGCATGATCACATCGCAAATCTGGTAAACATGGCTAATTGCTGAAGCCGAATTTCAATATTTAGTGACTAGCGGTATAGGATCACTGTAACCGTATACTCGTACGTTGTTTTGCTTTAAAAAGCAGTAAGCACAAAAGAAGGCCTGCTACGCCGTAGAAATCTTTTGACTCATTCAGCGATCGTAGCCATTAAAAGTAACAAACATACGGCCTACACTTGAAAATAAGCCTAGATTTTTGAGCCAAAAAGGAAGGGAATGACATCGGCAGATTCGAAGGCATATTTTAGGGGCGGATTTTGCCGTGCTGCATAACCCGAAAACTTAAAAACGCAAACTCGTTGCTTGGCTCATCTTATCTGCTTTCCTCGTAAACAACAATGTATATACATATTTATAGCTTGTGTCCAAATGGTGCTGAACACCGTCCTAAATAAAGATCTATCAACAGACACGAACGGTGGCGAGGGCAATAATGACTTGACTGCGCCAGTACTCTCACCAGAGGGCTACTATAGCAGTACCGAAGAGACCGGAAAAGCAAGCACAGATGGGTAAGTTCATATTACATTTCGGAATTTAAGTTACCAGGTTAAAATGACAGATTACTCAACAAATAAACGAGTAAATATAAATAAACAAACAAATAAATACAGATAGATAGCCTCGAAATCAGTGGTGATTAGTAAATTACGCTTTGCCGATGGCAAAATTTTTGTCGCGAGAGCAGATAAACGGGATGTTACAAGAGATCAGGGCACGAAATAGGGAAATGGATCTGCAAATCCACGCATTGAAAACGAAGCAATGCAAAGTCCCAGTATGCTTGCGGCAAGACTGCAGAATAGAGTGTGTGGAGTTGGAAGAAGTTGACAGCTACGTCTGTCTTGACCAGAAAATAAATATGCGGAGATTAGATCTAGAAGAACTACCCACTGCCTTAAACATCACAGCAGCATCAATGTGTCGAATTGGAAGGATGGCACCCACATCTTCAATCCCAACACGCAAAACAATGACCTACAGATGTAGTGGCTACTAGCGAAAGCACAAAGCTGACGCCGGGCATGAGAGATACACCAATGGACCGAAGATTGCTTGAAGTCTGCAATGATGGGAAACCGAATGAGATGCTTTTCAAAGTAGTCCTCAGATCAGAGCTGCAGACAGTTTCATCTAGCTAGGTGCTATGATGCAAGCAGTTCATTAATGCCTTTGTTTCGTAAAAAATAAAATGCGCGAGTGCAAAAGAGGGAAAGAGCTTACGCATAGCACATTTAATCATTGACGAGACGCATCAGGCGGGCCGATGCGATCATGCGCTTTTACACTAGTTCGCGCTGTAATAAGACCGCTTGGAATCCCAATAGCTAGAATTTGTGACGTACGAGTCCTCGAAGTTCAAGAAGCTAATCGTGTAGCTATGCGGTGTTCAGTTGTCAGAGTCGGCTTCAATGACCAGACAAACAGAAAATTGCTGGTGCACGAAAAGGCCCTACGAGGAGCATCAATCACTTCTTGTAAGCACTGCTTTTGCTGCAGCGAAAGCGAATATCGCTAGTTATGCGTTCTTGCATATATGCGAATGCGAAAACGCGTATTGCGACGACCTCGGTGTGCGCGTGTGTATATGTGTGTGTGTATGTGTGTGTGTGTGTGTGTGTGTGTGTGTGTGTGTGTGTGTGTCCGGGTTTTGGTGGGAAAATCGCTAAGCGCTTTTGGTGGGAAAATCGCTAAGCCAGAAAAGCTAGAAGGCTGAAATTTCGTCCATATAGAACTCAAAGATTTTAAATCCAGCCCCTAGCTATGCGCGTTTCCCGCGTACGGCCCTATGAGGGTTCCTGGTGCGAAAATCGCTAGCTTGGGAACCAAGAAAGCTGGGGGGCTGAAACTTTCAGCGAATATTCCCAGTTCATCTAAAACTTAAATTTATCATATTTAGTCCCCCGTTATCCGTGATTTCCACATACGGCCCCGTGAAAATTTTTGGTGGGAAAATGGATAACTCCGGAACCAGGGAAACTGGGAGGCTGAAATTTTCTGGAAATGTCCCCATTTCATCTGCAACTCAAATTTATCAAATTCAGCCCCCTGCTATGCGTGGTTGCTATGTACGGCCCCGTGAAAATTTTTGGCGGGAAGATGGCTAACTCCGGAACCAAGGAAGCTGGGAGGCTGAAACTTTCAGGAAATGTTTTCAACTCATCTACAACTTGAATTTATCAAATTCAGCCCCCTCAATATGCGTGGTTGCCACGTACGGCCCCGTGAAATTTTCTGACTGTAATTTGGGTAGCTCGGGAACTGAGAAAGGTTGGGATGTCAAGGGTATGTTTCTTGTCCAAGTATAGTGTGGGCATTTGACTTCCCGAAATTCGAGGATCAGTATGTCAGAGATTTCTAGCTAGCGTAATTTCGAGTGATCTTATTACAGCATGAAACACTGCAAAAACGCATGATCGCACGGGCCCGCCCAGTGCGCGTCGCCAATGATATAATTCCATAATGCAGATTTGCCTAGTCATGGGAAGCACAGCTCATACGCATAGTATGTTGTGAAGTGCGGGAGCCTGAAATAAAATTTGCCCTGCTAACTGAACTGATAGCTGAAATCAGTCCAGTGTACCTGTCAGAAATAGGTATGAATAGGGACTAGTTTGACGTACTTTTGGCCACAACGGGTCAAGTAATCACAGCGTATAAATTCAGCAGCTCAGCAAATGTTCAGGAGGAAAACACTTCCCATAGCAAGTAACATTTGACGTATCCAATTACGAAATATGAGCCGCGGATGCCAGTTTTACACATGGATACTCTCGTACACGTACAGCTGTCCACGTAGTTCACATCGCATGTTAAATGGGTGCCAGCAGCGCTCCAACAGCGATTATCCGAACTGGCTCGACTCGGACGCCATTGAGAAGCGCTCTCGGTTCTCTGCAAATGGTATTGAGTGTGGGACGGGAGGGGAGGAGGCAGGGAGGAGGGGCTTCTCAGCAATGCTTGGCATGATGCCAGCAAACGCTGGGTAACGTCGCTCCAGCGTTACCCAGCGCCCATTGGTTTGATGACGTGATTGGGCGGTGGGGAAGGGGAGTGGGGTGGGTAGGGGATGGAACGTGGTTACGGGTGATGGGTATCAGATGCCGCTCCGGAGGCAGGAATTTGAGGGAGGTTAGAGAACGAGACAAATTTCACATGCCTGTACGTAAGTACCATGCTGCCTGAATGTTGAATTTGAACCTTTACGTTGTATTTGGACGAAGAACACCCCGTTAAAGCCTCACCTTTCCAGTTTTCCTGTTTTTTCTGAGTTGGCAGTTTTCCCGCCGAAACTTTCATGCGCCCCTACATAAGCACCGTATATATCTGGGGCTGAATTTGGAATAATCTCGAAAATATACGTGGGCAAGGAATATTTCCTTAAAATTTCAGCTTTCTAGCTTTTTTTTGTTCCTGTTGTAGCAGTTTTTTTGTTCACGTCTGAATTTTCATCTGTTCTTACGCGAGACTCGGATGTATTATGGAGCTAAATTTGGAATTTTTTGGTCTTAGGGGACACTTCAAATTTCCGGCCTTCTAGGTCTTCTGGTTCCCGAATTAGCAATTTGCCCGCCAAAATTTTCACGTGCCTGCACTTGAGACTTGAATGGGTCTAAGGAGCTGAGTTTGAAATCTTTTAATCGTTAACGAGTACAAAATATTTCTTTGAAAGTTCAGCTTTTTAGCTTTTCTCGTTCTCGAATTAGCAGTTTTCCTTCCAAAATTTTTACGCACTAACGTGACATCAACTACCTCGTACTTGTACGTAAACGTGCGTGGTAGTTGATGTCATGTTCCTGGGGTCGCACTTGGCCAGAGAAGACAATAGCAAAATTCCAGCATCAAAACTTGCTCGGTTGCTGAGTAATAATACCCGGACGAACGAGCACACACACACAAAGTGGTTACAGTATGCGTTTTTGCTCCTGCTGCAGCGCTCTGGCATTGCACAGCAAAAATGCATAAAGAGCATGATCAGAGACTTAAAAGAATCCGTTTCTCAATTTTTAGGTGTATGAGAAGCCCAGCACCATCTCATCCAGACATCAGCTTAGCAAATAAGCAAAATCCAGCGCATGATTTGGAAAATCCAAGGAAAAGGAGTCGCGAACGAAAATTCGAAAATGAATGTGACAAAGTGGAAGCTCTAGATCTGACACAAAAACGACAAAAACGGATTTCCCAGTAATCCCAATTTCACCTATTCTTATGCGCTTCTGCTGTGTAGCGCTATAGCGCTCCTGCAGTGAGCAAAAACGCATATTGTCGTGGTCGTCCACGTGTGTACGCGTGTCTACGTATGTGTGTTCGGAAGCGAGTGGACTTTTTCACCTACTTTCAGTCTAGCAACCAGGAAAAAATGTGCTTCACAAGCGCGCACCAAAGCTTGTTTTACGTCTATGTACCCGCATATGGACGAGAAATATTCTTTTGAAAATGAAGCATTTGACTCTGTCTGGTTCTCGAGTTGGCACTATAGTGACTGGTCTTCAACTTTGATGTGTCTGTACGCGTGATGTATACGTGAATGACAGCTGAATTTGAAATCTTTAGCTTATGCGTGCACAGAGAATATCCCTGCAAAGTTTCAGCTTTCTGTCTTGTCTGGTTTACGAAACAGACAAGAGAGAAAGCTGAAACTTTGCAGGGATATTCTCTGTGCACGTGTAAGCTAAAGTTCTCTGCCAAAGATCGGAAGTCCATATGCAGTATCTAAGTGCGCACGAACGATGGTTTGAAACGGGAGGTTGATGCATGGGATGGGACTACGCTCCCAATATTTCATCCTCTCAGCTGATCTAGTATTTGTCGTTCATATGCGAGTGCATAGAAACAAAATAAGCTTTGGTGCGCGCTTGTGGACATTTGGAGATGTCAAAAATATTTGTAACGCCAGCAGTAGGAGTGATGAGGAATTTTCCAGAGGATGTTTGCTCTTCATGCGCGAGTCAGCAAGCGTGAAATGTGCCTTTGTTTAAGCAAAGACCTGCATATATGCGCATCAAATATCCGAATTGCAACTGTGCATTTACACTGCGGTAGTACAGACAATTTCTCTACAGGATGGAATCATGTAAAAACGTATGACTGCGCCGAATGCTTGGTATGTCGTTGCCTGGGTTACATCCCAATTTGTCGAAATATGATAATTTTTAGTTCTACAGCCCCTTAACTCGGTTGTCCCTTTTCAGTTCAGCTGCACTGAATCCAGCTGTTCCTTTTTTGACGCCGGATTTCGAACTTGATATTTTCTACTTTCCATTATTTTTCTGCTATTCGAAGAAATCGAATAAGTTTTACAGTTAAAGCTCTTGTTCGTAAATTCAGTGCATGTAAGGAAGCGAACACTAGGGTGGACCTTATTATAAATTATGCAGCAAAACTAGTGGATAACAGAGGAATGCCTGCAGTCCACAGCGAGAGGATCAAGCACAGCCGCGCTTGACTTATAAGTACGCCTCGAAAACTGCAGCTCGAGAGGTCCTGGTCGACTGTGTTGGCCGTACTGGGCTGGTTTTGCAGTCGTCTGTAAAAAAATACGCCTGCTGGTCGCCTAAGCATCTTGAATAGCACCGCCTTACACAACGGCTACTTTCGCATTCAGTCAAAGCCACCAGCGCATGTCATAAATGACATCAAATTCTTGCACAGTTGAAAGCTCCGTAAAAACCAATATTAAACAAAAAACATATTTTGAAGACGCCGTGATCCTGATGGCTCCAATGCACATCGAATTGTCGACGCAGTAAGGCGCTTGAAACCGATAACACATCACCCAGTTTTTAAAAAAGCCCTCGTGTGACTTATGTCTAGGAACTGTGCATACCGGTTGCGGCAAACGTATTGATATGTGCTGCGAATGAAAAGAGAGTGCTCTCCAAGATATTTGACAATCAGAACTGGATGAATCTAGCATAAACAGAGCAAAATGAGTAAAGAAAGACAAAGAAACCGAAAGGGCATGAAAGCATTCAGTTGAAGGGGCGCGAAACAAGAACTTATACGAAAAAATTGCATCCTCCGCAAGTGTAGTGAAGTATTTACTTCATGCAGATGACAGAAAAATTCAGGGATTATATGCATCTAAATGTCTTACATGCTCTAAATTTGTGCTGTATCTAAAATGCTATGACCAGTGATGCCTAACCTACTAGACAGCTTGCCCGTAGTCCTGACAAGCTGCTAATGCATTTAATTCAAACACGTATATTGTGCGAATATTACATATATGGTAAAGCACACAGCAAACATTTATTTAACATATCTAGAACAGCTGCGTATAACAAATGTCTGACTTTCGAGCATCACCCTAAATTTGTGAGTAAAATCAAAAGGAAGTCTAGAGGTTAAATAACAGAGAGAGGCGAATCGATCAACCATGGAACAGGTTTTGAACGCTTTTGAAGCAGTAAAATATCTTGCACAAGAGCCAGGAAATTGCAACGTAGCGTCTCATCATTAGGATTCTTCTTGTATGCTTGTCCAAAGGCAGGCAGTGCTACCGCTGCTTCGAACGGCAACAGTCGCAAGTAGGCTTTCTTCAGCTAAAGCTGAGCGAATAAAGAATGTTTAAGAGTATTCAAGTGGAGGAACCAGAATTTATTCAAAGCGGGTCATTTATACCTTTAGATCTGAGATAAACAGTCTGATTTGGAAAATTGTTGTGCTGGAAAACACTTATTTGAAGAAATTCTCTCAAAATTAACTTGACAAAAAAGTGGCAACGATGAAAAATGATAACCTCAAAAAACGCAGCCAAAACCTGTTCAGAAAGAGATAAGGGCTACGGAAAGGCTATAGGAAGAACCATCCGGGATAAAGAAAACTTTGTTAAAGCTTTTATAAAACCGTTAATTTTCTCCAATCCCCGGCAAAAATGCTAAAAACTTATGATCGCGGTCGTTTTCTTTCTGGAAAATTTGGTGCTGACATCGTCGAAAACGGCTATGTCTGCCTGCCGCGACAAAAAAAGCAGCTCGTATCAGTATCAACCACACCTACATCGACCTACTGGCACCCGACATCTGCGGCCTTATATCCCCATTTTGCTCGGTTCGCAATCACATAAAACCACGTCCTTTTTCATTTAAACAGTGAATGGCCATTACGATAAAGAAAATTTTTTTTTAAATTGCTTTTACTACAGCAGTTAGATTTTTAAATTCTTAAACAATAGGCTGCGGTTAAAAATACTTTCCAGTTGTCAATCTTTCCAAAAAAAAAAGTCGGCCAGCGCAGCAATTGTCGGAAGATGCGTTTTTTGGGCAATTGCTATAGCTCGGCTCGGCTAGCCTCGGCCCACCACGGCCAGCCCCGGCAGCTGCACGATTTGTGAATTCACTCCTAGACCGTGTAGTAGGGGGCAATGAGAGGGACGGGGAAGGGGGCAGGGAGGGGAAGGAGAATTGGGAAAAGGGGCTGAAGGGGGAAAGGGCGAGAGGGGTGGGGCAGGAAGAGGTCGGGTGGGGGACTGTTGTGCGGGGATGGTAGCCGCGAGCTCGGAGGTACGGGAGAGGAGGTAATTAGATGTGAACGTCGAGTGGCCAAGTTGGGGATAGGGGTGAGGGGGTGATGGGCGGAAGGAAGCGGGACTCGTGTTGCTGGTCTTGTCGCGGATGCGCGGGGTAAGGGGAGGGATTTGGGGGGATGTACACTGTAGAGGACATAAAGGGAAAGGGTGGGGAGAGGGGGTAGAAGAGGGTTGGCAATGCACGAACACACTTTTGGGCGTTGGGCTCGAGACGCGAGGAGGGGGGTTGTGATGGACATGAGGGGGGGGGGGGGGGGGGGGGGGGGGGGGGGGGGGAG